TGGGCATCGGCATTTACACACGCACACACGCACACAGACACACACCTATACACATAATTTTTGTTTGTTTGTTTGTTTGTTTGTTTGTTTTTCGAGACAGGGTTTCGCTGTAGCTATCAAGCCTGTCCTGGAAGTAGCTAATATAGACCAGGCTGGCCTCGAACTCACAGAGATCCGCCTGCCTCTGCCTCCCAAGTGCTGGGATTAAAGGCGTGCACCACCACCGCCCAGTTTACACATAACTTGAAAACAACAATAAACGCCCCCCCCCTTTTTAAAAAAAAAAACTATGTTCAAGGCCATTTTTGCTATGTAGAAAGATCAAAGCTAGCCTGGGCTACATGAGACCCTGTCTCAAAAAACAAACAAAAACAAAAACTGCTGAGCTGCGTGGCACACACACCTATCTCAACCCTCAGGAGGCTAAGGCGAGTTTGTGAGATTGAGGCCAGCCTGGGCAGCACAGTGAGATCCTGTTCAAAAAGAAAAAAGTAAAGTCTGTTTTCTCATCTCCCAAACGAAGCCGGCCCTTGGCTTGCAGTGAAGCAGAATGTGGTGGACATAGCCGCCAGCTGAGTCTGCTTGTCTTCTCTGTGTCCCCTTGCCTCTCTCAACCGGACACCATGAAAAGCCCAGAAAGACTAAGATGGTAAGGGGAAGCGACCAGCGCCCTGGGAACAGCGCCCCCTGCTGACTCAGTCCCATTGCAACCCAAAGAACGGGCCCCGTGGTGCTTGAGAGGAGCTGAGTCACAGCTGTGGGGGACCTGAGTTTGCACAGCCTCTCCCAAGGTGGTTTTAAGACCCTGACCCTCAACCTCCAGAGCACCCCGCCCCGAGTCCCGGTGCCCCGTCTGCCCAGGCCCCACTCTCACTGGTGAGGATGATAATGCCGGTGATGAACAGTACTGCTGCCACCAGGAGTCCCCGCTTCCTGAGAGTGAAATCATCTGTGGAGACAGAAGTGGACGAGTCAGGTCAGGAGGTCTTTGTCCCTCCTCCCCTTATCTCCAGTGGTATGCGCTTTGGAGTAGGGGGCTACTTACCATAGTAGAAGGGGTTGTTCTCATCCGAGGCTAGAGGGAACAGACAAATGTGAGTCAGAGCTGGGCGAGGACACCCGAGACTCAGGCTCTAAGGCCTTAGAACGAAAGTGGAAATCCTCCCTGTGGACGTGCCATGTGGCTCCCATGATCCTTCGCCACTCACTCTGCCTCACTATTGGCATCCGCTGGCCTTCCTGCTCTTGAGTCCAAGCAGACCATCCCACACCTTAGGTCCTTTATAGGAACAGCCTTCCCCTAGACACCCGCAAGGCGTCTCTGACACTTCCTGCACCAGGAAGCCTTCCTCGGTGCTGTGTATGAGACGCTCTGTTTTTCTTGATAACAGATGAAAACTTACCCGATATATAAGAACCCCAATTATTTTTTTTTAAAAATATCTATTTACTTATTATATTATGTGAATAGCATTCCTTCCACGTGTGCCTGTAAGCCAGAAGGGGGCGCCAGGTCTCATTATAAATGGCTGTAAGCCACCATGTGGTTGCTGGGAATTGAACTCAGGACCTCTGGAAGAGCAGTCAGTGCTCTTAACCTCTGAGCCATCTCTCCAGCCCAAGAACCCCAATTATTATATGCTGTCCTCTCCCACTAACGTGTCAGCTTCAAGGGGGGGGTCTCGCTATATAGCCCAGGCTGTCGTGGAACTTGCTGTGGAATCCAGGCTGGCCTCAAACTTGCAGGCATCTTTCTCCCCTGCTCTCCAGGTAAAGATTACAGGGCTGCACCACCATGCCCAGTAACAGCAGAGATATCTGTCTGTCTTGTTTGTGGCTGCCTGGCACACACATGACTCTGAGATGAATACACAGGTGAATGGGTGACCTGGGCATATGGCTTCTATGTCTTCCGTTGGGGGTTGGTAGACAGGAAGTGGAGATCAGGAGTGGAAGAATCAAGACTACCAAATGGAGTCCTTGCTGGTCCACGAGTGATCTTAGGTGTGTTAGCCAGTCTCTAGAGGCTAGAAGAGCCACCCAGCTACACCCAGCCTGAACTTCAATTTTCAGAATTCAGAGCTCAGAAAGCAGCCACCCAAACGTGCTGAGGTGGTGACCTGGCTTGTTCAGCCATTTAGGCACACGCTGCCATCTGTCCGGTCAGACATCACCGCCTTCCTGCCCTCTGTCAGCCTCCTCTGGGGCATGAGCCCTTCAGACTTCCCCACACAGAGCAGAAACTAAAGGACACCTGTGAATGGTCATGGCAAGGAGGTACTAACCGTGTGAATTGGAAAAGTAGAACCTCACTTCATCTTTGGTTGGGCTTGGAGACCCCATCCCAGGGGGTGCTGTTGTACCTTCGGGTGATAGGCAGAAAAAAACGGTTAGAAGACAAGGCAGGAAGGGCCGCAGGGGCAGAGACAGGAGTGTGGATGTAATAACAGGGCTACATCTGTGCATCTGGGGGACGGCGCCCAGGCACCTTCCACCGACACTCTGGCAACAAGCATCTGCTGGCACCCGGAGGCAGGACCAGCTGCTCAGCCCCAAGCGTACCCCTCTCCTTGAACGCCAGTCATAACCCAAGCGCAGAAGTCAGGATTTTATGGACTTGGTCCCCACTGTCCTGGAAACATACTTATTGAAAATATTGTGAGCATTCCCTCTGATTTGGGACTAAAAATAGCAGGGCATTCTCTTTTTAATATTAATTTAATTAAAAAATTTGGAGACAGTGATGTGGGAGTGTCATATATCAATCTGTTGATTTCATTGGTTAATTAAATAAAGAAACTGCTTGCCCTGATAGGTTAAAACATAGGTGGGAGGAGTAAACAGGAGGAAGAGGAAGTGAGGTATGACTCCTCAGACAGACGCGAGATAGCTCTGCTCTCAGAGACACACGCGATGAAGCTCTGACTCAGGATGGAC